CTTTTACCTCAAAGATGCTTTTAAGGACTCAAAATCTTATAAAAAACCCTCCAATAGATTTATAAAACATCAAAAATTAAATCTAATATCAATGGGTGATGTTTTGATCAATTTCTCATAACTTTGACTCTTTGATCCTAAAGAAATCACCAAAGACTAGTTTTTGGGGGATTTTCTCTCTAAAATGGGCTCTAATGAGTTTTAGGTTTCAAATGATTCTAAAATCCACAATTTCGACCCCTTAGTTTAAAAAAAAAGACATGAAATGCCCCTATCAAGTGGCTTTTTCGCCTCTGAGCTGGGCGTAGTACCTGAGCGGCTGCCTATGCGGGTTCACAGGGTTTTTCGCTTTTTTTTGGTGCCTTAGGCCTGGGCGCATCGCTCATGCCCCTTGTATTGCCTTTTTTGCCTCCCAGGCGTTGGGCAGTCTGCTTTTTGAAACACTACCTTATGTCTTTCCTCAGGTTATCCCCAAGGACTTAGCACACCCCACACTGGATCTCTTTCATCAATGACACACAGGATCTAGGTCCATGAACTTGTCTCACAAATTTGGAAAGCCTAGGTAAAAACCAGCAGCGAGCATCACATGGGATATGCTTAACCAAGGCTCAACACATGAGCATAAGTCCAAGACCTAGGGACAGGTTATATGTGGTTTGGGCGTGCCACCCCTTGGCTTAGTTTTCCTTCCTAAACCTTGAAGTTTGGAGAGAGAAGAGGAGAGAGATATTTAAAGAGTGGCATGCCATTCCTTGAGAGAGAGAGAGAGAGAGAGAGAGAGAGAGAGAGAGAGAGAGAGATGTCAAGTGTAGAGTATGAGCCCCATCCGTAGCTAGTTTATATAGAATAAAGGCTAGGGTTTCTAGGGTTAGGGTTTTTCCATCTTTCTGAGACATAATCTTGACCTTTGATCTTAGAAACCTGTGGGGTGAAGGGATCTCATTCATTCATCCCTTAAATCCACCATCATGATTAAAAAGATGAGGTGGAATCATTGTCCTTCAGTTTTCATAACTCTAGTCCCATCAAATATTGTGTAGAGAAAGTACTAAATCAATCACAATTAATTTCTTATACCTTCCTATTTTGAAATCAATCACAATTAATTTTTGACACCTTCTTATTTTGAAACCAATCACAATTAATTTCGTACACCGTCCTATTTTGAAATCAATCAAAATCTCTACACAAAATGTTTCCTAAAATATCAAGTCAACATATGGCATAATCGCCATCTTTCAATTTGGGAAAGTTTAGAGGTGTAGCGCACCACCCATAGGGTGGCCATGTGGGCTCCACACCCCATAATATGGTGGGCCCAATGTACCCCATTGGGCCCTCGAATACTTTAAACATAATTTCAGATAATAAAATAATTTTATAAAACGTCTAAATATTTAATATTTATCTATGATTAAAATAAATCTAGAAAATTGATTTTTCCTTTGTTAAAAATCATTTCTTAATAAAATAAAATACCTAGAGAGGTCTAAAAATTCATTTTAATTTTTTGAAAAATGATTAAAACATATTTAAACATATCTAAGAAGATTTGTTGGCAATTGGATCCATAGAGTTAGGATTACGACAAATGTGCTGAGGACTCCATCCTTTTTAGAGACCGTATTTCACTACACCTTCTCAAAATGACCCAACAGATGACTCACAACCTTTCGCTGGGGATCATGATTGGACAATCAAAATCAACCAATAAAATGAAAAAGTACCATTCTAGATCATGGATTATAGGTCCCTCCCTGAGGACAGTCCATGCCCCATTTCAGTAGTATGCTCCATGGGTCCTTCCAACACAGTCCAGTGTTGCAGGGAGTGATCTCTTCTGCAGATGTACACGTCACACACCCTTATCCAAAAGGGCTGCTTCCCGAACAGCTATCTAGTGTACGTGCCATGTGATGGTAATGATGAGGATTTAGGCCCTTGTCCTCTCTGGCAATCCATGACACACAGGGGTCAAATTCATGGCCCCTGGCCAACTGGCCTAGGCACATTTTTGACCTCAACGAGGGCTAACCCCACATCGAAAACCCTTGTCGGTTGTGCTCACACAATGCCCATGACTACTGTTTTTAGACACGACACTGAGCCATAGCCAGTCAAAGCTCAGTTGTGTCTAGGCATCACAAATGCCTCATAGTCCAATGTGGAATACACTCTCATTGGAGCCAATATTTTACTATATGTTTCTATTACATGCTCTCATAAGGCCTTTAAATGTCCCCATAGCCCCAATTAATACATTATGAGAAACAATAAAAACAAAAAGAATCCCAAAGACTTTGACCTGTTGCCACTTTAACAACTCTTTACTACACAAACAAAATTGCATAAACTTGATTTTTGGTAGCATGAAACACATACTGAATACACAGTAAAATATCAGAAGATTACCTCAACTGGACTTTGTACACCCTACTCGGGGTCTCCTCCTCCAATGGCGCATGGGATCAAGGTTTATCTCAGATCTTCAAAGTAGGGGAAATCAAGATTAATCTCAAATCTTCGAAGTAGGGGAAACCATAGGCTATCAACGCTTTCAAACCAGAGGGCAATGGTGAAACTAGAAGCAATACTAGGCCTCCATGCTTAAGCATGGTAGACAAGGTCTTAATACGTAGTATAGTAAGCTAAGTCTCACTATCAAGTATGGAAGGCTAGGTCTCAATACCTAGTATGATAGACTGGGTCTCAATACCTAGTATGGAAGGTTAGGTCTCAAAACCTTGTATGGTGGGCTAAGTCTCAATACCTAGGCTTGTATGGTGGGCTAGGTCTCAATCCCTAGGCTTAGGGCGTGTCTCCTAAACTCCTAAGGTTTGGGACGTGGCTCTCTTTTCATTTCTCAAAGATGGCTCTATCTTAGAGAGGCTTAAGAGAGAAGAGATCAAGAGAGAGAGATAGAGGGCGGCGTGCCACCTTGTGCCGTAGAGAGAGAGCTCAAGGTGTAGAGTATAGGGTCTCCCATGGTGTCTATTTGTAGACTTTCTCTAGGGTTAGGGTTTCTTAGGATTAGCCATCTTTATGGAGAATAGATCCAGACCATTGATCCTAGGAGACCTGTGGGGTGATAGATCTTCGCCATACAATCCTTACATCAACCATCATGATTAAAAGGAAGGTGCAAGAACCTTATCCTTCACCTTCCTTAACTTAATCCCATCAAACAAATTAGTAGGGAAAATATATTATACTTCCTATATCTTCCATAAATCTTTTACACATGCTCTATTTTGAAAATTCAAATGTCTTAATTTTCAAAACTTTCCATATTGTTGTCAATTGATTGAGTGGCTTGATTGCCCTCATCACAAATTAGGAAAGAAAAGCATAAAAGGGGGGCGCGCCTGTCATGGGGCCTTATGTGGGCCCCACGCACCACCCACATGTGTTAAACATGGTGGGCCCCATAGCCCGTATATAT